TGTATTGATTGGTTGCGTAAAGGAATTCTTTTCCCAGAAAGCCCCAGAGGTATATTTAAGGTTTCAACCTTAATGCAGTACAGAAACTGATTATAAGTAATGGGAACCAAGCAACAATTGCAGAAATGACTAGCAAATGCTGCACATCAAGCAGCCTAAGCAGTATAGAAGTAGAGATGAAAGTTCATTGTTGACTTTCGAAGCAGTTAACAGAACAATTAAAACACAAGGTCTATTTAGTAGATGTTGTGGAGTTTTTCAGCAGTTTTTCAGGAGTTTGCCCAGTTATTGTGGAATTTTGAATGTTCATATGTAAATATCTATTCAACTCCATCTGCTTTAGTAGAGCATGTGATAAGATCAAAACTTCCTGTGTTGAGTTAGTTTTGTTGTCATTTATTTCTGTCCAGTAAGGTGAGGTCAGTGAATACACCAAGTTGAAATCTGGGAAACCTCAGTTCATTTATAATCCTCAATCCATGCAAGGTATTCTGTAACAGGCTGCGCTAGCCTCAACTACAATGCTCCTGCTATGGTTCTTTCAAGTTATGCAACAGCTCTATACACTCACCCTCGGTGTACATTAAGAGTGTGTTAATGCTGGGATCTCTGAAAGGACATCTCTGACTGGACGAGGCAAACATTACTCATCACTTCCTTTTTTCCTGGGCTCATCTCAGTGCTGGACTTATGTACCTAATGATGTCAGACATATCGAGCAAGTGTTATTGAAACATCAGACCTTCTGGCATGAGGCTTGAACTGATGTAACCTCCAGCACCTCTGACGCATAACACCAAGCACTGAGATCCACTGGTCTGTATAATGAAGGCCTGTGCACGTGTCTCTGTGTACCATGCCACAAATTATACCCACCCCATCCGTCTCTTCTGCAGGCATTTTATGCTTCTATCTCAGACTCTGTGAAAGCAAACTTTCAGGCCTGTGTTTCCTTGCCAACTCCAGCCTCAGTAAACAATCACAAACACACTGTCATATAAACACAATTATGATAAAGCCCAGGACTCAGTAAATGTAAACACTCTGCCAGCATACGTCATATTGATTTTTCACAGTTTGGAGACACCCAAAGTCTTGCCATCCAGACTTAGGAATGAGGTAAACACTTGTTCAGTGACACGTGAGGCTGTCTGCCTGGTGCAGAGGTTTACTGGATCTGGTACAGTTTCTTCAGAGCTCAATGACTCACCAGCCTCTGTATATTCACAGTGGACATTAACACTCATCACTGCAGTGAGTCTCAGGGGTTCTGCTCAGTCTGTTTGCTCTGTGGAAGATCATGCTGTATGGACAGAGTGAAGCTATCTTTATAGCAGACTCTCACATGTGGTCACCCTGAACTGTGCTGTCTGCATCACAATGTAAAAATACTTCATTACAAGGAAAGCTACACCATTTTAAAACAACTAAGTGTATGTTTTTAGGCTCATTCATATTATATTGTTCTAGACTGTTTAGGAGATTGTGTTTTTTATGATACATAAGAAATGATACCAAAAAGATTTTGATAATGTCAGCCAACCATGGATGGCATAGTCCAGACTGTTTTGCTGCCTTCACATTAAAGGTCCATTGTGGAACATTTAAGAGGATCTATTGACAAAAAATAAATTTAATATTCATAAGTATGTGTATAATCACCTGAAAATAGGAATCCTTGTGGTTTTGCTACCTTAGCTTACCTTCTATGGAAGCCACCATGTTGAACCATGTTTCCACAGCAGCCCAGAACGGACAAACACCAGCTGTAGATAGCTAACCCTGTCGCATTTTTGTGAGTTTCGCAGCCACCATAGTTTCTCCCATACACTTGGTTGAGTCAAGGGGTTTGCAGTCTTACCACTAGATGCCACCATATCGTACACACTAGTTCTTTAATGCATATTGTTCATCACATGCAGGAAGTGATGAGTATGAATAGTAGTTTTACAGATTAAAATGAGATCACATAAAAAATCCACAAACTTAACTTGTATTTAATGCAGGTCGGTCTAGTCTGGTCAATACCCAATTGATTTTGATGTCAGTATCAGGGTTAATCCCAATCCAACAATTGGATCTCTGTTGTTGGATAAAGATAGTGTAGTATAGTGTAGCATAAAATAATAGAATTAAAACATAGAAGTATCTTTGCCAAAGTATTCCAAAGTACTAGTACTTCAAAATCTCATAGTACTTGATTAAATGTACTTGTTATATTCTACCAGACAATAGTCTTTCTTTTAATTTTGTTCTTGTGTATAAACTGAGGCTTTCATTCACCTTTCACCTCCATGATATAGTCCTTTAGAAATAGTATTTATGTTAGAAATGGTTCCCTGCCTTGTGCTATAGATAAATCAGAGCCCTCATCATCTGATATACCTGGGGATCTGCATGATAAGGACCTCTTAAGATCCCTTTCACATGGTTTTGCCAAACACAGATATCAAATCACACAGTCATCAACTCTATAGCTGTGAGACTCATTAGCAAGATACTCTTTTTGTGCAGATGTCAGTTGGGCCTTTGAGCTATCTCTCCCATCTGGTGTTTGGGTTTATGACGGTGCATAACGGACATAAAAGGAAAACAAACAGGAAAAATCAAAGAAGCATAACTTTGATCAACCTGCAGATTACTGAGCTGTGTTTGGAGATCCAGCAGTAGACATCACAGTGCGGTGGATCTTCATCACACACAAGCACACATAGCATCTTCATTGTCATGCGTGTTGGTTTGAGGCTTGGGTTCCCTGGTCATGCCCTCCAACATGCAGGAATGTCTGCTCAGCTACCTTTTGCCTTATAGAGGAACGGGGAAAACTGCAGACAAAGAAAAAAAATTCTGAGACAGAGAGCAACAGGTGAATGAGGGAATATTTATGCTGTATTCAACCACTAGCAGCTGTGATTTACTTAAGGGCTGCTGACAGTATGCAAGTGTGTTCCCTCATTGCATTAGCGTGCCTTAACTCCCTTGGTGAATTGCCCCCCAAAAAAAGGTCATGTTAATCCAGCACCAGGAGCTCTTACTGCTGCAAGCCAGCAGGTTTGCAATAATAAAACACACATGTGCTTCATTCTAAGAGTCAATATTCCCTTTCCTCTGTTTGTCTTATGACACTAATCTGATCTGAAGCAGGTTTTCCTGTGGCATAACAGAAAATTAGCCTGTAAAAAATACTTAATGGAGAGGTGAGATGGAGTGGGTTAGAGGTGTCTGAGAGAGCAGGAATGGCATATGACACACTCTAGCAGGCCACACATGTGTTTTATACCGCAAACGGAGGAGAACAAGTGCACTCGAATAGAGTGGGGGCAGTCGGAGCTTAAGGTCCTGAGAGTGGAGTCTGTTCCTCGTGGTTTCCCATGGTTTTAGAGCCACATATTGATTCAGTTATCAGGTATGCTGGAGACGACTGTGTGTAAGAAGGAAGACAGGGAATATGTTTAAGACTTGGATACTGAGTTATAGAAAAGGTAGAATTAAGAATGACTTATGTAATAGATGTTACGGTTAGACAGTTGGGAACATATCACGATAAATGGTGATGCTGTCATTTATTTATTGTGTGTGTGTGTGTGTGTGTGTGTGTGTGTGTGTGTGTGTGTGTGTGTGTGTGTGTGTGTGTGTGTGTGTGTGTGTGTGAGAACGAGAGACAGAGAAAAATATTTGTGGGCAGTGTAGCTGTGCACTCTCTGCCCAGGCCTGCAGAGCCCATCCAAAGCCCTGACAGACTTTTGGCTGGACGCCTTGCACGTGAGTCTAGCAACAGCTGGATGATGGAGGGAAAAAATAGGAGAGGAGCAATGGATGAGAGAGCCAAGGCAGTGCAGGCCAGTTCCCAGGCTCTGGCCTCTGGAGAGCCCAGAGGAGAGGAAGCCGGGTGGGGGGAGAGAGGGGAGAGGGCGGGGGAGGATGAATGGGCCAAGAACAGCTGCATTGACGTCCTGCTGCCTGCATGTAGCTCTACAAAGCTAATCAGTGACCTTTAATGTGGTTTAAAAGTAACCTGATTACGGGAAATAAAGCCTTTCTTCATTGTCAAAACCATCATGAGTAAATGTGAAGGTCCAGCGTGTAGCATTTAGGTTGCAACCAACTAAATACTACTCGCCTTCCAAGGGTGTAGGACAAACTAAACAAGGAAAAGGCCCTATCTAGAGCAATTGTTGGTTTGTCCCTTCTGGACCACTCTAGAAACATGGTAGTTCAACTTGCTCGTTCTAAGGTAACAAATACACGATTCTTATTTTCGGCTGATTGACACTATTGAAAACATCCCTATGAATATTATAGCTGTGGCCCTTTGCTGCGTGTCATCCCCCCTCTCTCTTTCTCCCCCGTTTCCTGTTCCTCTTCAGCTGTCACTATCAATTAAAGGCAATAAAAGTCCCCCAAAACCCCTCAGAAAAACCCAACTAGTAATTAATTGTATGTGAATGGGTTGCTTGTAGTGACACACCCACAGACAACTATGACCCGACTCTGCAGTTTTTTTAAGCTTTACGGAGCTGCTGGATCTGTAAATAAGCAAGCGTTTGTAGGTTCATCGTATCAGCTTAAAATGTGAATGTTGTGTTCACAGCTTGTTTCTGCTGTCAGATGAAAAAAAAAATCAGATGATCCATGTTTAAGATGCAGCTGAGTGCACAGAGGTGGTGAACTGTTGATTCATCCTTTGACTCATCTCTGTTTTTAAATCTAAAATCACTATTTTTGATTTATAAAAGCTCATCTGTGGGATAGATCAGCAGGCTTGCATGAAAACAGTGCAGATGTCTGTCCGGCGCTCACTGTGGTGATTTACAGTGTCAGTGGGATACCTATGTAAGCCATCTGGCAGAGGCAGGACACGGACATGCTATAAAAGAATGAAGAGTTTGTAGTACACGTTCCACATCTGATGGATAACATCAAGTGACCCCCAGCAGGTGTCTGTTGTACTGTCCATGTTATCTGATTATTGATTGATTATTTTAATGTTTCATCCTCAGGGTTGTGGGGCATCATGTGGAAAATGTGACTGCAGTGGTGTGAAAGGAGCAAAGGTAAGATTTTAATTTACACTCACTTCATTTGTCAATCAGACCTTATGCTTTTTTCCCCCCACTTATTTGATCTCATGTTAGTTTGCAGTTGCAGAGTGTAGTAGTTTCTAAGTTCATAGCAGGCCAAAGCAGACGTACGTGACAGTGCTTCCTATGTTCGGACTAATGGGGTCAGCTCGGTGGGACAGACTGGAGCAGGGCCTGGGTGGAAAAGCAGTGGATGGGACTCAGTCATGGAGTAGAGACCGGGACGGGAACAAAGATCAGTTTGAATTAGAGCATGTCCGGACACACAGCTGGGCTGAAAGCCTTATTCCCATCAGACAGAGGAAAGCTCTTGGATACAGATGTACAAGAGTGGGGGCACTAGCCATGAACTGGCCCTGAGCCTTTGAGCTGTCAGCACCACAGCATGAGTGTTAATCACTGACCTGAAACATGAAAAGTTGGTATTAATTGACTTAAGCAAATATAGGTTTGCTAAAAAAAAATTCTCTTAAGACGCTTTTTTGGACACTAACAGCATTTTTTAGTTTTATTGCATTTAACGATAAAATCTGATGATATTTAAAAAATTTTTATTGTCAACGAATCATATAAGAAAGACAAGTATTGCCTTGGTCGAAATTTTTTTTTTCAAACTGAAACAAGCCCATATTTTCTGTGACGATTGTCTAAAAGTAAATATTTGCTTACTTTATCAACTTTGTTTAATAGTTGAAATCTCTTAAAAACTTAAATATTCACCCTTTGCCAACAATAATTTATGTGTGAGGGGTTGCAAAATTATCAACAGGATGGGAACCAGGAAAATATATATTTCAGCCAGGCAAAATAATGTTTTTTTCAATCTTTGCTTATTTTATACTTTTTGCAAGTGAATTATGGGATTATTATTATTATTATTATTATCATTATATTTTACCTTAAAGATTAAAAAGAACAAAAAAAATCCCTTTTTGGTCAAACTGATCACAACCAGAATAAATACACAACCAGTCACAAGGGGTCTCAAGTAGACATTGCTTTGTTTTATGTTGTCACAAGCAAAGAAGAATTGGGAGGCAGCCAGTCCTCTGAAGTTTATGATTTATTTTTCACTGGAACTCCTGCTGTTTGAGTGTACACGTGTACAATTGGCTCAGTTATATCAGATGACTGCAGAGTGTTATCTATCCTCTTAGTGCAACAGTCTGGCCTTTTATGGCTCATTCTTACAGCAACAGTAGCCAAACATTCAGCTCACCCGACAACAACAGATGTACTGACTGTGTTCAGTGGAGTCCGGCCAATCCGCTGCGGATTCAAAGCACCTCTGTGTTTTGAAAGTTGATGAAAGGCCCCAAACAGCCGTCCTTAACTCGCCTGTGAGCTTTATTTCCACTGATATCGCTTCCTGATGTTGCTTAATGGGTTGCCGTGGTAACCCCATGACGATTCCCATGGTTCAAAACGTAGTGTTTCTCCTGACTGATGGGAGTCAAGTGTGTTGTGGTCAGAGAATGGAAATCGACCCAAAAAGTTTTATTTATTGTAGAGTTTCACACATGACTCACTCATGCTTGGTGGCTCAGAGAGAGTTGTGAGGATAACTGGAGCATGACTCCACTTTACAAAGCAATACTGCCATCTAGTGGCAGACAGTAGAAACAACATATAGGAATCTTTCTAGGTCAGTTTTAGGTCACTGCGAAGGACACAGCCAATATTTGTTTTTTATTGTTTTCAAAACATTGAACTTAAACAACATTGAAAACAATAGTCATATGAGCCTTCATTGTAAATTAAAATGCAATAAAGCACAACACTCAAATCAACAAACAACATCATGAGCTCTAAGGTAAAATCATCCCCATTGACCACATTTTTCGGGGGGATCTGTGTTTCTTCCAGGGATGTTTAAATTCATTATATTGAATCTTAGAAATGCAATAGTGTTACTATAACAATGGATACATACACCAATCAGCCATAACATTAAGACCACCTCGGATCCCTGACCACTTTTGATAGGTACTGACCACTGCAGACTGGGAACACCCAACAAGAGCTGCAGTTTTGGAGATGCTATGACCCAGTCGTCTAGCCATCACAATTTGGCCCTAATATATCCCACCCACTGACAGGAGCTATGATAACCAGATAATCAGGGTTATTTATTTCACCATTCAGTGGTCCTAATGTTATGGCCGATCGGTGTATATGCCAACAGTAACTCAATTAAATTTGTCTGATAAATTAATTAAATCATAACATGTCTTGAAATGTGTTTCAGCTTTTGTGGATGAAATTGTACTTTCTAATCTCAGTTAAAGATTTTTGCCTTTTTGTCAATCAACCTGATGTCTTTGCTTCACAGGGTGAGCGTGGATTTCCAGGTCTTCAAGGTAATATGGGATTTCCAGGGATGCAGGGACCTGAAGGGCCTCCAGGTCCAATGGGCCCCAAGGTCTGTATACCCCCACCCCCCCTCTACACATACACAAAATGAATAACTTTAATTAACTTTGGCTTGACTTTATTTTTGTCATGTATTTCTCTAGGGAGACCTAGGTGAAACTGGGGCTCCTGGACTGAAAGGAGTGCGGGTAAGTAACTAACCACCAGAATTATGCAACCATATGATATAAACGTTATATTGTAGTTTTGGTATTGTCATGAGACAGTAATGCTGATATTGTTGTGATCTTACAGGGTCCTCCTGGTCTACCAGGCTTTCCAGGAAACCCAGGACTGCCGGTAAGTTCCTCTGAACTGCCTTCATGTCTCACATCCTGCATCAATCCAGTAAATTCACCCGATAACCATAAAAAGGTTGTCCAATGTGCCAAATTAAATAGCATGGTGTTAGTTATTAGTTTTTAGGCTATTGGATATTGATATATAATATCTAATATTATATAATTGGCTATTATTTTAATTTTGGATGGGGTCTGTTGGGAGTTTAGTCATTAAGACAGGGTGGAACAATAAGGAAGCTGAGGAGACTTTGTCACTGTGTAACTTAATGGTCTCAAATTGTCTATTTGTGATCTCCCTCTCTCAGGGCATCAATGGAAATGACGGCCCACCTGGTCTACCAGGTATCCCAGGATGCAATGGGACTAAAGTAAGCCTCTTCTAAAAGTTCTTCTGTGAAGCCGGTTTATTCAGCCAGGTTTTGTGTCCTCGCCTGATATTTGTCACTTTTGTTACCTAACCTTAACACTGTTTCTGCTGTCTGACTGTGCTGTGTGTGTGTTTCAGGGAGACAGAGGACGAGATGGCACTCCTGGTTTTCCTGGTCTTCAAGGACCTCCTGTAAGCAACCGTGACTCGCATGACAATTAATCACCTCGTCACACATCAGAATTTCAATAAAAGCTTCCTTATTTTTAAACTGACTGATGGGAATGATCCCATGGCCCATACAGGACGGTGCTGCAACAACTCATATTAAAACATCACAATTTTATTAGAATGACATGATTTCTATATGAAATAGCGATATGTTAACTGAGCTAAAAAAGTAAACAGTAAACAAAATAGTATTTAAAAATGGAAATGTTCATCCTGCTGGAATATGCTACATGTATAGGTATGTAACCAGTTTCCTTTCTTCTCAGGGCATCCCGGGAATTCCTGGAATGAAGGTCAGTTGAAATTTATGAAGCGTTAAAAATAAATAAATAATAATAATAATTAATAATGTTGTCAAACAATGTATGCCCCCTCTTACAGTATGATAAAACCATTTATTGTCTCCTACAGGGTGACCCTGGTGGTGTGATTGGAATCGTTCCCCTGAAAGGAGACAGAGGGTTCCCTGGCACACCTGGATTACCTGTAAGTTGTGTGTGTGTGTGTGTGTGTGTGTGTGTGTGTGTGTGTTTGTGAACAAGCATGCATGTGCAAAAGTGACTAACTGAGATATTGTAATCTGAATTTTCATGTTAATCCAAGTTTACTTATCTTTCTATCCTAGGGATCAAATGGACTGCCTGGACCTCTTGGCCCTCCAGGACCTCGTGGCTATCAAGGACCCAAAGTGAGTTTATCCTGCCGTGATGGATTGTTTATAATCCTACAGAGTCTCTGATATTTGTTATACCGAGACACGTGATTGTCATTAAATGTAAATTTGTACTAGAAAAAGCACGTATTAGAATCTCTGTAGATTTGTAAACCTGGTAGATACTCACGGATGATTTGTTCATCAGTTCAGTATTATCAGTTTATTTGACTATCTGAACAATTGTTTGACAGGGAGATTCCGGTCCTCCTGGCCCTCCTGGGGAGAAGGTAAGACTAATCATACATAAAGATTTTACAGTCCACCATCCTCTGACTTGGTACCAACTACGATATCACAGGAACTTCTATTTTACTTCCCTGCAGGGTGACAGGCTGGCCTTTGTGAGTGAGAAAGGAGATAAGGTGGGTGTGTTTGTTTTTAATATATTGACTGTAAAAAAAGAAGCTACATTTCTTATGATGGTTTCATTGTAGAGGTAGTGGGGGCATACTGCAAGCCTGATGTTTACACTGTGGTCACATTACAAAAAATCCGACCTGCATCTGGAATTGAAAAATCAGATTATGCTGTTCACAGCGTCATGAAAAAAGCAGAACTGTGTCACAGATGTGGAAAACAATCAGATGTTGGCCACTTGTGCCTGCAGTCTGAACGTAGCCCTTTTTAACCATATATGTTTTTAGGTAAGAAATAATTGCATTTCAAGTAAGGTTTTGATGATATTATCTTAAAACAAAAGTTATTAAAAAAAGTAAAAAAGTATTGGAATCGTCTTTGACTGTGAGGGTATTACACTGACATTAGAAGGAGCCTAGTTATACACACTGTAACCAGGATATTACTCCATTATTACCTTGTTAAGCTGTAATGTTAAGTGGTACTTTTACAGATGCCCAGAGGTCACATTTTGGTGAAAGGGGGTGTGTGTCACTTGTATTTTGTATGTGTATTTAATTCTTGATTGTTAGGGAGGTTGTTGTGGTGCACATTGGTGTTAAATGTTTGTCTTTAACTGTAATGTGTTTAGTGTTGTGATTGAAGCCTATTTTTCTGACAGTTGCCACAGACACAAAAAGAATTTCTGAAAGCTGGAAACGAAACTAAAATAAAAATAAAAATATAAAAATAATTTAACATTTTGTTGCTGTCCTGTAAAAACTATGCATCTCCAAAATGTCAGCTTTTCATGAGCTAGGAATACCAGATCTGTAAGCTTTGTAACAACGCATTTTATATGTAATCCAGTGAGTTTATCTTAAGAAGAAAGAGAATTTTCTTTTGTCTATTTAAAAAAAATTGAAAAGACAACATTTATAGATACTTAGGTTTTAATGGATGATTTGCTTTTTTTGTTTAAGTTGGTTTTGTGATTATTATCGCCTCCCTGTAGGGTGAGCAGGGATTTCGTGGCCCTCCCGGCCCTCCTGGACCTCCATCACAGGGATACGAAGGTGGACATACCACAGTGCACGTACCTGGACCGCCGGTAATCCCTCAGTTCTTTAAAAAATGAGCAGAAATTGTTTTTCATGTATAAATAAATCATGTTTTCTTTTACATCTAAAAGATGACTTCCTGAATGTGTTTGTGTTTTTTTATTATTTCAAAGGGTGACAGAGGACTTACAGGAGACAAAGGAGAAAAAGTTTGTATTTTGCTTTCAGATGTTGAGGTGTATGACTCACATTACCTTAGTGCACAAAGGCTGTTTGTTATCTTTTAGTTTAACTTTGTACTTTTTTAAGACATCTGATTTCTTTTGCAGGGCTACTGCATCGCACATCACACTAATGTCAAAGGTGAACCAGGCCTGCCTGGACAGAGAGTAAGTGGCAAAAAGACATCTCTAATAATAAATGAATAAGAAGTTCAGCATTAGTTGTTGTTGGTAAGATGTTTATTAAAATTCTTCAAAGGGTCTGAGTATCACATGAAAAATATATATATATATATATTTTTTTACAATGTGTTATTACAAAAAACTACAAACTTGTTTCTTTGCGTTCAAGCGAGTGTCTCTTTCTGTAATTTTAGGGTAAACCTGGCAAAGATGGAGAGGATGGGCTGAAGGTAACAATAACTTACTGTATTGTCTGCCTACTGTACTCTACCGTCCAGCTGTTGCTTTTATATTATGAAATATTTATCACTAAAGAGCGTAAATACTTTCATACAGGGAGAAAAAGGCTTTTCTGGATCTCCTGGATACATTGGTTCCAAGGTGACAAATACACCTATATTTACTCCTCACATATTCTAGGCTTTAATCTGATAGTCAGACAAACTAAATTCTCTGTTTCGTTTCAGGGTGAGAAGGGAGAAAGAGGACCACCAGGTTATGTAAGTTATTGCCATTATCCCACTTTTCCATGACTCACCCACTCTCTCTCTTTCTCTCTCACTCTTGGTCCCATCAGCTACAAAGAGGATAAACTACTAGCAAATGTCACCACATATTCATTCAGTTAAATTGTGAGAGCATGTAAAAGGGGCAAGCCGGGGAATTAAACTAGCCTGAAAATATGACATCAAATTACATCACTTGAGTCCGGCCTCAAAATTTCCGTCACAAAAAATGGGCAGGCATCATTAATCTTTGTAATTCTGTAATTGCAGGGTAATGGGGCCCCCGGTCCTCCTGGTCCTCCTGGTTTCCCAGGGTTAATAGGAGAAAAAGGTGAAGTTAGGCCATTGCATGCCACCAAATGTTCATACACATATGCTGAAACATAGGCACGCAAATATGCAAAAACACATACCTTGGATCACAATAACCATGTTTTTCTTTCCTTTTTGGTTTCTTCTTAATCCACAGGTTTTCCTGGTCCTCAAGGAGAGGCAGGTCCCCCAGGTAAAATAGCACAATATTTCAACACTGCATTAAGGCTGCATATATCAGTCAGACACAATAATGCACCAACTGGCTTGCCTTGTGTTGTACTTCAGGCCGGCACATTGAAGGACCCCGTGGAGAGAGGGGTCAGAAGGGAGACATGGGTGAGAAGGGAGACATGGGTGTAGAAGGAGAGTCTCTCGTTGGACCTCCAGGACAACCAGGGACCACTGGACCCCCTGGACCACCTGGACAACCGAGTATGCCTTATCTTTCAATATTCCAGTCATTTCAAAAGATGTCAACAAAGGAACACCTGCATAACCTAATGTGTGTATGTGTGTGTGTTTGTCTTGAATGCTTGTGTTGCTTGTGTGCTATGACATGGCCACACAGTTGACCCTAATGAATGTGACATTAAGGAAGGAGCTCCTGGCCCACCTGGACCTCCAGGGTTGCAAGGGGAATTGGGACAGAAAGGTAACAACATCTGCAATTAGTGCCGATCAATACAATCCATCAATGAATGAATCCATTAAAATTATATCTTTTCTATCTTTGAAGTATAGCAATATCTTTGTGGGCACATGAACCACATACATCAATGCATCAATAGTACCCACAGAGGGGGCGGTGCATTCTCGAGGATGTTTCAGCACCAAGGACAGCACTCGGCGCTCTATGTGCACTGATTGATGGATCAGCACCACCGCCGATAGACGGCTTGCCTGTGGCTTGTCGCTGTCTATTGTCTGTAGTGCTGAACGGCCACACACCAAGTGCCCTGTTTCAGTAGTATGTCTCAGGAAAAAACATAAAATATACACAGCAATCTACATTACTACAAGGCCTATTCAGATACAAAGTAGACAGTCTACAACACCACTGGCAGTGACACAGACAAGGTGCCAAGACGCAAACATTGAGTTAAACAACAGATTAATCGAACATTTTGACTGATTTCTTCATAACCATCATTTTAAGTTAATAAAAACTAATTATAAATGTTTCACTGACCAAATGTTGAGCCTACTCAGCCTGCTTTAAAGTTAGTTTAGTTTGACAGTCTTTGTGTATTCCACCAGATAATTTGAACAGGTTAATGAACTTTGTACATACCATGGCCCCTTGGGCAGCCGCCCCCTCTGCCCCCACAGTCCCTCCACTTATGGACTACAGACATTTACATCATGTTTTGTCAACTGATGTTTCTCTACCTATTTTCAGGTGACCAGGGAGACACCTGTGTTCACTGTGAAGGTGTGGGCCTACCTGGATTACCTGGCCCCCTCGGCCCTAAAGGAGAGCGAGGTGAGTGAACAGTGGTAACATTCAAACAAAGTGGTGGTGTCAGACCAAATTCCTGGTGTCATAGCCCAAAAACCATTGGGGCGTTTGCTGGAGACTCATCTGCAATTTATACCTCATATGCTAGATATGTGAGGATTAAAAAATATTTCTTTGGCCCCATTTCTCTGTGTTGCACCCACTATGATGAGTATTGCATGAGCTAACGGAGTCCATTCTTCATTTTCACCTGGCAGGACCTCCTGGACCAGTAGGCAGCAAGGGAGATAAGGGTCAAACTGGTTTTCCTGGGGAACCTGGAAGACCTGTGAGTAGAATAAAGTCTGAGACACTTGAGACAACATCAGATCTGAATGTTATCATTTTATTCCTCATTCATTGAGGAAAATGGAACTGAAGAACAATCGTATTCTTATGACCTATGTGCAGGGTTCTGAAGGCAGTCCTGGGTTGATGGGAGCCCCTGGTGCTGTTGGTGAGCCAGGAGACATTTTCATTGCTCCTGGTCTGAAGGGGGACAAAGGTTTGCCTGGTCCTGCCGGATCACCGGGGAGGCCAGGGCTGGATGGACAGCCAGGGAGAGATGGCCGCCCAGGAACAACTGGCCTCAAAGGAGAATCTGTAAGTGTGTGTGGTTTGCCTGAGGCAAATTATCAAGATATCAGGACAGCATGAGACTGAATGGCCTGTCAAATGATAATGTTTGGGTTTATTACAATAAACAGGAGACTTCATTAATAAAACCCTTAATTGCAATTAAGTTGCTATAATCAGTATTAGCTATATCAACAATGGAAACATTGACTATAGTCGTAGTGACTGTCACACAGAATACTTTCACCTGACTTTGCAGTCCCTTTCAGCATTTCAAAACTTCCAAAGTTAACAACCATCCAGTGAACATTTTGGAGTATTTAGCAGCTAACGAGCCAGACATTTCTCCAGGAGACCAAAAACAGAGCTGAAAGGAGAGTATTGGACTATAATATAGTATACTATATTAACTTGTTACTAGTAATAATATTACAGTAATAATATTACTTTTCCCAGTCACTAGTAGTGTAACAAATTTATAATACATTTCAGTAATAATATTACAGTTACCAACCCCAAAAATAATTAGTTACAATATTACTTTTGTCGGCATCCGATACTAATTTTAAATCCAGCAATGAAATCACATCCTTGGATTAATTTTTGTAATCGTAGAGGAAACTAATTTGGAAGATGGAAACACTTCCATTCAGTGGTTGGAATATTCTCAATATTGAGAAAGGGCCCAATTACCAATTTTGTGGGCAGTAGAAAAGTAATGTAACTAGTAGTGTAACTAATTACTGTGGGAAGTTAGTAATAACAAACTATTCTAAACTATAGAGTATTGGATGCTGAGTAATGAATTAAATTTTTTGAGTAAGCCCAACACTGTATACAGCATACAAACATGTATAAGCACTATTTATATGCACATACATACATTCATGCATGTATACAGATATACCAACATCCACATAAATGTACATGTGTGCCTGTGTCTACCCCTCCTAAATTGTGTATACAGATTATATCTTTATGTTTATTATATATTATTATTATGCTTTCCCTAGATCCTAGTTATTTGCTTCAGGGCTACGATCCTGTGGGTTGTAGCTTTAAGCAAAAACTCTTTTTGTTGTTTGTAAAAAATCTTTAGAAGTAGTAGATTGAACATCCTCTCTCTAATCTTGCTCTCAGGGCAAAGAGGGCATCAAGGGTGAGCCTGGACCAAGTGGGGACCCTGGTCTTACTGGGCCTCTGGGAGAGAGGGGCCCACCTGGCCTGCCAGGCTTTGGTCGATCAGGAGATCCTGGAGAAAAGGGAAGTCAGGGGAGACCGGGCATTCCTGGAAGTCCTGGACCACCTGGTATGCATGAGATCTACACAGACCCACGTAGGCTGTAAAAAGATGCACTCATATATTCAAAGAGAAGTCACACGTAACTTACATTCAACAGGTGTAAAAGGTGAGCCAGGTCAAGGTGTGAGCACTCCTGGACCTCAGGGAGTACCTGGATTACGAGGAGAACCTGGCAGAACTGGATATCAAGGTGAGCAGCACCATAGTCAGCAGGTTTTCATTTATAGTCCACTGCAAAATAAATTGTCTCTTGAAAATCTGTAAAATAATCTTTGATAAATAAAATAACGGGAACGGATCATGTCAGGACAAAACAACAACAACAAAAAAATGTGAAGATTCATATATCTTTAAAGATGGTGGATGATTGGTCCTGTTTTTTATGCAACATGTTGTTGGCGGCAGGTGACAGAGGCCCGCCGGGAAAACCAGGGTTGCCAGGTTTTCCTGGACAGAAGGGTGACCAAGGACCCACTGGAATTGGATTTCCAGGCCCAACTGGTCCTAAAGGTAAGTTATTGGTTCACCCCATTCCTCCTCTCCATGGAGGCCACACAGACATTCACTGGATACTTATGGATTCCTGAAGGAAAATGGAAACAGACTATGATATAGTACATGCATATGAGCAGAACAAAACAGAAATGTTTCGTCCATGTTTCTAGGAATCAGTGGAATTCCGGGAGCTCCAGGATTACCAGGAGAGCCAGGAAAACCAGGACAGGATGGCGTGACTGGACAACCTGGTGTACCTGGACAAAAAGTGTGTATTTCCTGCATATATACTTTTTAATAATAACTGTATTAATAATTGAATTACGTGGAGATAGATATGTATCCCGCAGAATGATGGTTTTGATGATGGGATGTTAACATTCTGTGTTGATAATGGATCTTTCTGTGGAGAATATGTATTTGAAAGGGTTTAGTTTAGGAACAATAGAGTACATTAGAGTGCATTAGTCCCACAGTGCTATTGTTATACAGTACAATCGAATCCAACAACTAGAACAATGCTATCACCTGTTTTATGGACATGATAAACGTGGAGATTTGAATGTCATGTAAAATCACTTTTTGCCAGAGTTGAGATGCAAATTGGAGCTTATTTCTATACTTTGTAGGGTGATCCAGGACGGGGGCTTCCAGGTCCAAAAGGTTTGCAGGGGCCGCCAGGAATTACTGGCTTTCCAGGAGAGAAGGGAAATATTGGACTACCTGGTGTTCCCGGACAAGAAGGCCAGACAGGACCACCAGGGTCACAGGGAGTGAAAGGTACCACAGGATACGTATAACAACTCTGCAGCGAAGCGTAGTTCGATCTGGTACATGCCACACAGGCACATCTTTTTGTACCAAATACAACATTGTTTTTTCTTTGACCTTTGAATTTAGGTGACGTGGGACCCCCAGGACCTCCTGGGCTGGTTGGCTTACCAGGTGCTCCAGGAAAAGGCACGCCTGGAGCTCCTGGACCACAAGGACCACCTGGAGAGCCTGGACCATTTGGTGAGCAAAACTCAGGATCCAAGCATAAAAGAAAAACACTGGTGTAAATAATGAATTCCATTTAGTTGCTTCAGTCTCTGGGCTGTGCGATTGTGCCTGCACCGATTCTTTAGTAGAACCTAGTGATTGTAATGTTATTAGGAATACCTGTGATTTTCTTACCATAGTAAGAAAATCACAGGTATTCCTATAAGTCCAAGTTGTTGTTGAAAAATTGCTACAAATACATTTGTATTTGTGCATGTTGAACAGGTAGTGCAGGTGTAAAGGGAGATAAGGGCTACCCAGGCCCTCCTGGTCTGGACATGCCAGGGCCTCAGGGAGAGAAGGGGGCCCCTGGGTTTCCAGGATCCTCAGGTAATAAAGGACTGCCAGGGCCACCAGGCTTACCAGGCAGAGATGGACAGTTTGGAAACCAAGGTGAGACTCAATAACTGCCAACAAACTCACAAGAGAAAAAATTAAAACTGTTCTGTACTGTCTTGGGTGTGTGGACATCACTAATATTATAAACATAATGTACATTTCTACATCGTCACCATTTTGCTCTGAGTTTCTATTTTTATCAGAAATACCTTCTGAGGTAATTTCAATACATATCCTTTGTCATTCTTTTGTTTAGTGTTAAGATCTTATCACTGAAATTCAACACTTCCTCTACATGTTTCACATTAAAAGCATTTCAGGTAAGGGATGGATTATGCCCTTTCAGCTGTTGGCAGGTTTATAATGTGAAACATCTGTGTGTGTTGGTAGTAGTTCAGTATGAATGAACACAGTATTACCTTTGTTGTTGTTTAATAATGTGGTAGAAATATACATTATCCTGATTTAATCACACAATATAAGCGTGTCCTAAAAAATGTTTTTTTCAAAACACATTACTGCCAATAAGTCATGTTTCCCATTCCATTTGAAATAAGGAAGGAGCAGGTTTGACTAACTATGACAATTTTTCCTCCAATGGTGCAATATGGGAAGGTTGCATTGGATGTATTATTTTAGATAATTGATTCCTCTAGTTGTTTAATCTCCTTTTTATTCACAATAATCTCAATATGTGTGTGTGTGTGTGTGTGTGTGTGTGTGTGTGTGTGTGTGTGTGTGTGTGTGTGTGTGTGTGTGTGTGTGTGTGTGTGTGTGTGTTTGCCAGGTCCTAAAGGTGAAATGGGGGTTATGGGAACACCAGGAGCACCAGGCTTTCCTGGCCCACCTGGTACACCTGGATCTCCTGGTCTGAGAGGTAAGGAAAACCAAACTGTGAAAACTATTTACAGAATCCTTGCTTTTTTCATCCTAACTTGTACGCTTTCCATGGTTTTTCTTAAGATTTAACAGCAGCAATAATAATTTCCCCTTCTCACCATCTCTCTCAGGTGATCCCGGTATTAGTGGACCAAGAGGTAATGTTGGAGAACCTGGATCTAAAGGAGAAAGGGGAGATACAGGTCTTCAGGGACCTCCTGGGAACATGAGCGATGTTGACATGGAACATATGAAGGGGGAGAAGGGAGACCTTGGAGACAGAGGTATGAAACAACATACTGGCCTTTAGGTCCATTGGTGATTCTGTATATTGACCCAACATTTTTCTATCAGGTAACCCTGGACTCACTGGAACGAAGGGCTTCCGTGGACTTCCTGGAGATCCTGGAATGCCAGGCAAAGATGGAGAACCTGGATTACCTGGACAACCAGGTAAGCACCTGACCATGTTATACCATGTAGATTTCATGTGACACAGTAATCTCTGTTTTGTCATCATCCATTTAATTGAACTCCCTATTTGTTTTAGTAAATTCTCTCCACTGGCTTTGTCACCCAATGAAAATGGAGGGAATATAAAATAAATTGTTTCTCTGATATGTCTCAGGTGTAAAAGGAGACCCCGGTTTCCCTGGAGAACCTGGCAGTATGGGACCACCTGGACAGAAAGGCACTGTAGGAGAGATGGGAATACCAGGTAACACACAAATAAATCATACAGTACATAAAGTGTGTATCATGGAAATGCCAACCATTTGGATGGATTATATGTATTATGAACGTGTTGTGAATGTGAAGAAGTACAAACAATATTTGACGCTAGGGAAAACCTAGCTTGAACCTTCCTATTAAATTGTGAGGAACATTCTTCTAAATATCTGAATTTTGCCTGCTTGTGTGTATGTTTGTGTAGGTCCGGCTGGTCCAAAAGGTACTAAAGGAGATATTGGTACATCAGGACATCCTGGATTCAGAGGCACAGATGGGCAGAAAGGAGAGAAGGGGATAGCTGGTGACCCAGGTATTGGGATCCCGGGATATCCGGGAGAAAAGGTAATCCATTAAAGGATAAAACACTTTCTTGGAAAGAGTCAAAGGTGCAAGAGTGTGTAACTTTGTCAACTCTGATTTCAATGATTTTGACATATGGTTTTAATATTTCTGGAGCAGAAAATTCTCACTATTTGTTTTGATTGTAATGTGATCCACAGACTTTGTTTCTGTCTCTATCTCTCTGTCCGGGTATAACTCCACTGTAAAAATAGTAACTGCCAAATAACCACTATACGTTTCTAATGTAATAAAACCTATGGATAAGATTGAATTGTTGAGATTAAAGAAATTAAACAGACACCCAACAGAGATTCAAATGGAAACGTTTTACTGGCATATATATTATCTTTGTTTCTTTCAGTAATCATCAGTACCTACAGTGCCTGTCTTTTCTTAGCATTCCTCGCCATTCCTCTACTCTCCTCTCACAGGGTCAGACAGGCCAGCCAGGATTCCCAGGACCACCAGGAGACAAGGGTCTGAGGGGTCATGAGGGTATGTCTGGCAAACCAGGACTGCAAGGATCCAAAGGAGAAAAAGGAAGCATCGGGTATCCAGGTCAGATTTCAGTCTGTGTTGTCGCATTCATCCTATTTGTCTACAACACCAGCTATAGCAATCAAACCTGTTGATATTTCATGTTAGTTCTTATTGTGGTGTGCGTTGTACAGGTCAGCCAGGTAGACCAGGTGAGAAGGGTACCCCTGGGTTGCCAGGGTCTGCAGGAGAACCTGGTCGTGACGGTCGGCCTGGTAAGTACTGTAACAGGATTATTTGATCAGTTACGCAGACAAATCCCCTCATATTAATCACAGAATTTCATTCTTTTGTATAAAGGTTGGATACACCATTAACTTCCCAAAGACAGCCTTAACCTTGTTTGATTCGTCTTTGTATGGAAAAAAGAGCTATAAGGGTAGTGTTGACAAATACACTACTTGTCACTTCTCAAAGCTCCCGAACTGTTCCCTTTTGAACTAGCCACTATAAAATAAAGTATAATTCTGCAGTTGCTATCAAGTATCACCCCAAATCCATTTCTGTGGATAAATTATGAGAAAACTGCTACCTTTTTCCACCAAGAGCTATAGAAGCTCAGGGAAAGGTGCACATATCAAATACACCTGTCTCAAGCAACTGCTTATTTAGTCTTGCTAGAAAACAAACAAATTGTGTGTTCACTTGTTCTCTTCCAGGTGAAGGCGGCTTGCAGGGACCTCCTGGTCCTTCTGGAGAGAAGGGAGAGCCTGGAGTGGATGGCATCCCTGGATCCTCAGGAGAGAAAGGACTCCCTGGTTAGTGTCAGGGGAGTTAGGAGGAGACTACACTTGTTTGTTGAAAGTGTTGTAGTAGTGTAATGAGTCTCCAGCGTGATATATCCTACAGGATCACTCTGACTTGGGACCCTTTAAATTTCACCCAAACCCTCTCAAGCACAAACACCACACACACATTTAAATACTTGGATTTATGTTCTGATTGATTTTTTGGAAAATAAATACTTGAAGCCACAAACTCCTACTTGAGTAGTGAGTGAGTTGAGTGCTACAATCAGGGGTTCATATAGCAGTGCCTTTTCCAAATGTAGTATAAACTAATAACTGCACATACATTTTAGGTGTAGTTATTTTTTTATTCTGCAAGTGCCTCATTACAAATCCAATTATTTACAATTACGCAAACTGCTTGTAATGTACTTTTTATCTGTCCTTCTCTGCAGGTTTACCTGGCCGAGGTTTTCCTGGCTCACCTGGAGTACTTGGTAGCAAAGGTTAGAGCTCTTCCATTGATATAATCCCTCAATCGCTGGAGCCAAACAGAGTTTCATCGTCTGGCCTTCTGGTCTTTCCCTCTCCAGGTGACAAAGGTAGTCCTGGGTTCCCTGGCACTCCAGGTCATCCAGGTGTCCCTGGTATCAAAGGCGACAAAGGACATCCAGGTTTACAGGGACCCCAGGGTGAGCCAGGAGAAAGGGGTCTCCAAGGTATCTCTCTAGAAGGTCCTAAGGGAGACAGGGGAGAACTAGGACAACCTGGAGAAGCAGGTATGCCATATACATGACATGCTATCAATACGTGTATGAGGACCTGTTGCCAAAATGTGGTACTTTATAGAGCCACTGTTACAAGTGAAAAGTATTTTTAATAGAATACTATATATTGTATTATGTTTTGTATTATGCGTTCTTCTTATCTTCTTAAAACAGGATCCCCAGGATCACCAGGACCTGCTGGTGTACCAGGCAGAGATGGACAAAAGGGAGATAAAGGAGACCAGGGTCAACCTGGTTTCCAGGGAGAGTCAGGACACAAGGGTGATCCTGGAGTTCCTGGACTTCCCGTATGTCACAACGCTGTTTTCCATGACTTCAGCTGTATATGATATGCACTAGTTGATATGCATTCTGATGAGTGATAGTCATGTGTGTTTATTACAGGGACAATCTGGCCTTCCGGGTATCGATGGACAGAAGGGCGAGAGGGGACTGCAAGGTGTCCCTGGCTTCCCAGGTGAGTACTTACTATGTGATAGTCTATAACTGTGTGTGTGTGTGTGTGTGTGCGTGCGCATTCATGTGTAAAAGACATCATATTTCAATGCAAATATGAGAGGAAAGATGTGTTCTTATTCAAATAATAATTGAAAAACACTATTTTTTAATACAAACCCTAGGTTTAAAGGGTAATCTCGGGGACATTGGATCCAAAGGAGAATTCGGAGACAGAGGATTCCCAGGAGAAAAGGGTAAAGAAGAGGGGGGAAACCTTCAAAGTTAATACTTACAAAAATATTTCTCTCACTCGCTAGAATTGGTTAGTGCTCATGTCTCTAGTAATCTTATAAATTGGCCTCAATAAAATCAAAGCAAGTGGAAAATGTCTTCTAAACATGCTGTATATTACAGGCAATGATGGCCCTCCTGGTGCCCCGGGCCCCCACACCTTCATCAAAGGAGACATTGGTTTCCCAGGTATTCAAGGATTACCGGGACCCCAGGGACCACAAGGGCTCCCTGGACAAAAAGGACTGCAAGGTGATGTTTTTCATAAAAATGTGCGCTATCATGTAATTTTCTCCTGGTCACCTATCTTTCCAGTTTTCCAAAGTGCATCATCGTTGTTGTTATTTTCTCTCAGGTGTGACAGGTATTCAAGGGCCAAAAGGCGAAGATGGCCTTCCTGGATATCATGGTCAGGCTGGAGCAAAAGGAGAACCTGGCCTCCCTGGGCCTCAGGGTGAGAGGCTCACTGAAACGGAAGGTAAAAGCTGCTGTGTTGTCACTGTCATAACTTATTAATTTCTCGATGTCTTTAGGACCCAGAGGATTCCCTGGCCCCCCAGGACCTGACGGTGTTCCAGGTCAAGTGGGTCATCCCGGCCCCTCCTCCATGAATCATGGGTTCCTGGTAACCCGTCACAGCCAAACGGTAGAGATTCCATCTTGTCCTGAGGGAACCTCGCCCATATATGATGGCTATTCTTTGCTCTACGTACAAGGCAATGAACGCTCTCATGGACAGGACTTAGGTGAGAAACACAATATGAGAAAGAAAGAAAGAAAGAAAGAAAGAAAGAAAGAAAGGAACAAAGGAACAAAGAAATAAAGAAAGACCAAAGCAATATGATATGGAGAAAAAGAGGAAGAATGCATGAAGTTAAAGATTGGTATGTCTCTTTGATCTGTGTTTTAGGTACAGCAGGCAGCTGTCTAAGGAAGTTCAGCCCCATGCCCTTCCTGTTCTGTAACATCAACAACGTGTGCAACTTTGCCTCTCGTAATGACTACTCCTACTGGCTCACCTCCCCTGAGCCCATGTCCATGACCATGGAACCTATCACTGGTCAAAACATCAAACCTTACATCAGCAGGTATGTCAGCATTTCTATCCACACTGTTTGATTTTGGGTATATATGATAGTAATTTGACACTCACATACTGTGCTCCTCTCGTGTGTGTGTACAGGTGTGCTGTGTGTGAAGCCCCAGCCATGGTGATAGCAGTTCACAGTCAAACCATCATGATCCCACAATGCCCTCGCGGCTGGGACTCTCTATGGATTGGCTACTCCTTTGTTATGGTAAGACAAATGATCAAATTTGCAGTCTGCTCTCCTAACAGTACCATCAGTTCTTCCTTACGTACAGTAACCCAGAGGCATCGCCAGAAATGTGTCAGAAATCTTGGGATTACAAACCGAAACCAAAAGCTGGGGGAGGGGTCGGTGTGTAATGCAGTGATAGATGGTCACACATACATATAAATATATATATTCACAGTGTCTGTGGAAAAGAACCCCCCCAAGAGTAATATCCTTTTTACACATGCACATGGACAACTTGTTCATTTCAGAAATCAAACAGTAACTGTCTTTAAATGGGCTTCATTTAGTTAATGAGCTATTTTCATTGTGTGTGTTCGTGTAGCACACCAGTGCTGGTGCTGAGGGGTCAGGCCAGGCTCTGGCTTCTCCTGGTTCCTGCCTGGAGGAATTCCGCAGTTCTCCATTCATCGAGTGTCACGGTCGTGGAACCTGCAACTACTACGCCAATTCCTACAGCTTTTGGCTTGCCACCATTGAAGACAATGATATGTTTAGGTAAGATAAAATCGGTTCCCCTGTTCACCGCTAGATTATCTATTTTTTTCTGTTTTGGTTGCTGCAGTGATGTACAGGTGTACTCCAGGACAATGTGACATCACTGTTGGGTGTGGTTAAAGGTGCATCACAGCTGATTTGACTACACCCAGTCACACCCTCCAGAGATGCTGGGTGTGGTCAGAGTCGAAAAAGGCTTGAAACTTAAAACATTGCTTCCAGTGCCGGCTGGTGGTGATTTTGGGTCACACACCTGCAACAGCAGCATCACATCAAGTTACAGCAACAACATTGTATACTTTGTCATAGCAAGTGCTCTATGGCAACACTGGGGAGACATACCCAAGTGAATGACCTGATGCCAAAAAAAAATCTCTCTCTCTCTCTCTCTCTCTCTCTCTCTCTCTCTCTCTCTCTCTCTCCTATGTACACAGGTACACAAAGTACCAGCAACAATTTGCAACACCATGTACCAGAAATAAATCTATAAAACCAAAGCAAAAATAATTATTTGTAGAAGAGAGAGTTGTTTCAGAGCTTGGGCATACCTTATTTAAAACGCTGCTCACATCGACGGCCTTTCTGTGACGCAAACAGGTTAATCACCATGTCACTCCACACAGCTGTACCTCACCATCAGCTCACCTTTCAGTGTCTCCCTGCAAATCATTGGGTAATGTGCACATGCAAAGACAACAAGTGCCGGGCTTTCTCAAAGCGAGCCTTTGACTTCTCGACCATTATGTCACAGCACTGTGCGGCTACTGACACATTATCAGAGCACCACATCCTGCGCAGCGTTACAGTGGCTGCAGCGGCTGCAGCTGTGTCCACATCTGGATGTGGCTGATTGTCATCTGTGGTCAGCAGTTCAGATATGAAGCACGAAAAATTCTCCAGGGCCTGTCTCGTTTTGAAAGAATCTGTGGTGTTAGACGTGTACTTTTCAACCTGTGTGTTTGACAGGTGATCGGCTAACTGACTGTCTAAAAAAGAACTGGTCGCTGCTGGAGTGAAGTGGGAGATTAATTTGACACCCGCAGGGCGAGCTTGTGTCCCCAGCAAAATGTAATACGGTCCACAGTCCGTGATAGTGAATGCCTGTTTTTCTTTACCAGCTCGATGTGTCTCTGTACAGGATGCAGTGACCCTCATTAAGCTGACAGGCGATGTTCACTTTACCCAGCAATGACAACTCTACACTATTTCCAATGTGGCTTGTGCTGCATTCATGTTTCCTAATTTTGTCAGATAAATATTTTAAATCCACAATTCCTTGTTGGGTCCAAACCGTGTCTCCTCCAAAAAGCAAACATGGGAAACAGAAAAGTGAATTCCTAGCTACACTGGCTGTTAGCCAGTCCGTTAGCTGAAACCACTTTACACAAAATTACGATTTTGTCGTTTTTCCTTTTGTGTTATTTGAACATCATTTGGATGATGTGTCCCCAATCTCTGTATTTCCAATTTTTCCTCCAAAGACTTGAAAATTGATTAGAAAGTAAATAATCCACCTCGTTCATGTTCATGCTAACGCCTGCCATACTATGAACTAGCCTCACTGTACTGTAGCTACTGCGCTGTGATTGGTCGAAGGTCACTGTACTGTAGCTACTGCGCTGTGATTGGTCGAAGGTCACTGTACTGTAGCTACTTTTTGGTGCTGTTGCTGCTCTAGGTTCTACCAAAATTCAAAACAATATGTTCTAAGGTTTTCAATAATAGTTTTTCATCTTTACTGTAAAAGATAGGGGGGGCTTAGCCTTGTTAGCCCATATATACCAGCCGTCCCTGATTGCTTCCATTCGTGATGTTATGTTACTATTTCAGTGCTAATATCAGTAACTATTTGACTATTATCACTTTCCCTTCACATTTACATTATTGGTAATATAGATACAGATATATAGATGGACGTCTGACGTTTTTCTCTCTACCTTCCTTTTCAGGAAACCTTCCCCAACAACACTAAAAGCCGGCAATCTCCGAACACACATAAGCCGCTGTCAGGTGTGCATGAAGAGGACATAAACCCCAACATCAGAGTCTGCAAATACAGCGTGTGCTGAAATCCTCGACTTGCCTTTACTTCCTGTTTTCAAGGGATGGTGCTATTTCCCTGCATGTGTGAGAGGAGAGGGACAGAGATGCGGTTTGTAGAACCAGAGATTGAACATTACAAACCAGAACACAGAGACCAAGCGGCCTTTTGCTCCATGCAGAACACTTAACTAACATGATCACAACGTGTCTCCAAAGAATTGCACCCAGTTTACCACTGCACTGAGTACATGCCCCCCAAAACTGGTAAACTGGTGTTCATTTTGAAAGGGTTGTTTGTGTAAGTCAGGTGCTATTCTTACTTATCTGCCTTGTTCCATTTTGTTTGCCTTTTTATTTCCCCTATCAGCACCAAAGCATTCAAGATATAGCCACATATTATTATAGATTTTCACACCTTTTAAATTGTTTAAACATGCTAATGTAAAGGATGGGACTTACCACTGGTTACAGACGCTTGTCATTTGCTAAATCACCATAACGTTGCCAACACAAATATATAATAATCACTCTGTTGTAAATATAATGCATTCCTCTCTAACACAGTTCAACATACTCTCCTCAGGTTATTATTGAATTTCTTTGTGTGTTATTAAGTCCATTTTTATTTATAAGATTTATGAGAACATGTCGGACTTGAGTGTATCTGAGATTCCATTGATCCAAAAACAGTCTTTCAACATCTGACAATCAGCGCCTTAGTAACATACAAAACAGCACTGAAAGAGCATTGGCTGGTGTGTGTGTGTGTGTGTGTGTGTGTGTGCGCGTGTGTGTGTGTGTGTGTGTGTGTGTGTGCGTGCGTGCGTGTGCGTGCGTGCGTGTGTGTGTGTGTGTGTAGGTGTGTGTGTGAGTGTACATATATGAATGGATTTGAGCTTGTTCAGAAGTGGTTTGTGTTTTGCGATGTCTGCATATACTGTATATTGTTGCACAAGCACAAAAAGAAATAGACAAAACCATCACCTTCCCTATACCTTTACTTTGTTAGAACAATACAGCTATGTGTTAAAGGATTTACTCGTCTCACATTACGTGAACCAAATGTTTCTGATCCCAAAGAAATGCACATGTATATATACTTACACGTAACATGTACTTGCTATTTTTGCTCATGTACTTGACTGTTCCTGTTTGTGAATTCCTGTTATTATCCCTGCCGATTTAATGCAAACTGATTTTTCGTTAAGAGTGACAACATTGTTGTTCATCCGAGTCGAAAACAGACAGATGAGGAGGACTACATGTATGCAAGTTGCGATGCTTTAGAAGGCTTAACAGGTTTGTGTTTTGTGTATTCTTTAATATGCAGTATTTGGACAAAACGTCAGTCTTGGTCAGTAGGAGGAAGACCTCTTGGACCCCAAACATAGTTTCTGTGTCCCTTTCAGAGCTATTCAAAGTTTTCTACTGTTAAAGTTATAGCAGTTACTCTAGACTGACCATGATCTGTTTTTGTTTGTGTTGTGCTTGGTTGTGAACTGCTCAATGAAGTATATATAGTGTTAGCAGCATTTGCCATCATAAATCAAACTTGATTGTAGTGGGAATAATCTTAACTAATTAACAACCAGAAAAACGTCAACATTTTATATTTTCCGGATCCCATACTTTGTAATTCTGCAATAAAATTATTTGTAGAATATTATTATTAATTTAGGACAGGTGTTATTTCTCCTTTTTATTTGTATGGTTCATATGGCTTCAAATGTGATGTGAAGATTTCTAATAGTACTTTAAAAGGGCCACAAGAGGGCAGCATCAGCACACTTTGTAGGTAAGTTAGTGACGATTCATGATCTCCATTTGGGTGATTCACAAGCTCTGTGTTTTTAGTTTTTACTGCCACTGGCTATTATTCCAACAAGAGGCAGCAGAAGCTGACCTCAAATCTATCTTGAACCCTGAATTTAAGTGCAGCCTCTGCACCAATACTTCCACAGTGCGACACAGCCAATACCTCAGCACTTCTGCTGGGACTATGGCCAACAAACCCGTTCACCCCATGAAAACACAAACAGATCGATACACTCCACAGAGAACCAGATAACCCCTCCTTTCATCTCCACTCTCGTCTTTCATCTATTACCGGAATCCTATCCCTTGTTTCCTCTCTTGTCGCCAGACAGAGGCCTTGACCCTCGACTATCTTCATAAACATGTCTAACAAGGCTGTGACCCCTGACCGGTGAATGCAAGGTCACTCAGGTGGGAGTCACACTGCATGGCCATACAACACCAAAAGGCCAAATGGTCAGATGACAGGTACAACTGGGAGCAATGGCCTAATGACCACGATCAAGATCATTTGCTACCAAGCTGAGATGTCTGCAGTTAGGGCGAAGGCTACATTCTCAGACAAGTGGCTGAAACCAGTTTCTTTGAAGGTTGCCTGTGACAAAAGAGGCAATTAACACAGTCAGTATTTGTTTCTCTGAAGTGGTGATTGAAAATGTAAGCCTAGTTTAGTTGCATTTATTCAAATCAATGATGCAAAATTGGATTTAGTTGTTGTCTGTGTATTAGTGCTTATTAGTACAAATGCTTGTCAATTTTATAGTAAGTTACAGTATTGTGCAAATTATTTTGAAGATGAAATCATTTTAGATTTGGAGGTATTCACTAATGGAGTGAAGCCTGCGAGCTAGTTCAGGCAGTCAACTCGAGCTGCACTGCTATACACACACGACATGCCTTACACTCCATCATCACTAACCAAGCGCACCTTTCCAATCTGGCGGTCTATTTAAGCTGCACAATTTCCCAGCTCTGCTCTGTCAATGCCACTGCTACCCTGCATCTACCTGTAGGCTCTGGCTAGGGGGTTTAAAGGGGAGAGACGCCAAAATCTAACTGCTGTAATAAACATTTCAGATGTGAGTTGTCTGACTGAAATACATTTCATGCAGCACCATATTTGTGTTATAATACTTTGGAGTGAAATACTTTAATTAAACAGAACAGGGAAATAAGTTAATGGAATATGCAGTTTTGTGGCAGTAAGGATGAAAGAAAATTACGAACCATAAACTAATTTACAAAATCAGTTTAAAAGTTATTTGATAATAACAACTGGTTTATACCCCAAAAATGAAGAAGTCCCATTCAAACTGTAGTGGCCTATATAACATACTAACATCATCAGCAACTCTATTCCTCTTTGAACATTAATATAATGGTAATTATTTCTTTAGTATCTGTAGAAAACAGTGTTCATTCATTACTGAAAGTAGGCACAATAAATCATCGTACATCATACAGAAAGCTTTGTCACATTTATTTTTGCCAGAATCATGAAGTCTTTGGACAGAATTAACATTATGTAAAAACCACACACATATTACTCATGTGCGTATCATTACCGTTTGTGCTCTTTTATTTTATAAAACATAGGTATGTCATTTTAAAACCTGGTTGTAAACCTGTAAATGAGGGTTTAGTTTACACATAGCTGATTAAAAAAAAAGAAGCATTACATAAATCACTCACTTGCAAATACACATAAAACATCAGTGCCGTGTGGTTAGGGTCAACGCTGAGCCTTGTTCAGGGACTTTGAAGTTCAAAACTTGAACCTCTTTAAGGGCTTTAATCCTATCAGTTGTTTGCTAACACTGCTAAATTGAGACTCGATTTAAGAGTTACAATTACCTTCAGAGCACTGGGGATTATGCTGCTTAAGTGCAACAATCTGTCCATAATGTACGGAAACAGCAAATTGACTGACAGCAAATTGATCATACAACAAAATATGTAATGACAATTGTGTGTTTTTTGGGAGCTGGCCTTGACCCTTGCATTGATATATATCAAACTGATAATAAGAGCTTGGCTGAGTTCCTGTAACTTAATGTGTCATGTTTTCCAGAATGTGTTTATTAAATACAGTGGGGGAATGTGTCAGGAGATTAGTATGACCCTGACCTTTCTCCTGAGTGGATCAAGCACAGCAACCACCACCTCCGCCACACCCCCTTGACCTCAGCAGTGCCAAATACAGATTAGCTTGCAACACAGCACGCAACACAAAACATAACAGAAGCCATACAGGGCAAACACCCACAAACATACTCACACACTTTAAAAGAGCGACTTTGCATCTGCCTGGGATTACAGCTACAATCAGAAAATACAGTGATCTAGTGTGAAAGTTTTCATTTCTTACATACAGAATGGAAAGTATCCAGTTTGTAGCTGTTGTTTTATTCTCTCCCTTAATAAACCTCACAACATGCAGAAAAAGGACAATGAAATGGTAAAAATTCACCAAGGAATATTTAAAAAAAATGTGACTGCAGTCTCTGTGGTACCTCACCTGCAAACATTAAGTACATTGGGGTCTCAACCAATCATACTGACTGTTGGTAGACAAAAGCCACTAAGAAATCTTAAGAATTTAGTTTAATTTTCTTTATCTACAGGTGATATAAACAGCTGTTGGCTGGACTCTTAGACAGATATTATGACAGAAATTTGACTTAATTGTTTAAAAAACATGATTTCATCTGGTCTTTTTAAAGGCCCTACACACCCACTCATTTATTTGCGTGTGGGACAGGGATTTGTAGGGTTGTAAACATAAATTTAAGGGACTAGCATGGCTACAGCAGTCCACAAGTGGTAAATTATAAACCTTGTCATTAGCGCTTTACTGTCATCCCTCTTTCATTGTTTTCACTCACTGCAGAGATTAACTTCCTTTCCTCTCTGCTGCATGTTTTAGTTCATCCTGCAGTTATGTTAACAGGGATATAAACAGGCAAACTGGCTGGACATTGGATTTTGCATTCAACTTGATTGAATTTGGAGCAGAGTAAACAAATTGAGTTCAGTTTGGGCTTGAAATGATTATGTTCCACACCTTAAGAAGAGGCAATTAAAGTAAAAATACCTATGTGGTTAGACAAGTAAATATTTCAGTAGGTGCTCAGACCAGTTGACAGTATGCATATAGTTAAAAGGGCTTCCATGAGTCAGACTGCATGCTCATATTATGAACAGCTGTCATGAGCCCTGGTGCCCAACTTAAGTATGGAGGCTCTCAGTCTGTCCTGCAAGGTTTGTGTGACTTGTGGCAAACATGATATTTTTAGAGAATGAGTAGATAAAGAACTGCAAGATTGCCCTGGTGTTTGCCTATAAAGTTGCAAAGTGGAAGAACTCTTGCATCAATTTGGAAATATCTCACTTCTTTGCAAATCTTAAACATGTTTTCAACACCCCACAAACCCAAATGGTTAACCTCAGCAAAAGGCAAGAGAGCGTAGGTAATAAACTTCTACATTTTTGTATAATATAAAATAACCCTAATGCTGACCAGACAAAGGCGTACACATGCCATGTGTTTCCTCAGATATATTACTGTTTTTGTTCATACATCTTTTATTTATCTATTTATATTGTTTTTTTATGTGACCTTACATTATAGTGGACAAATTGTGACAAATTCAGGGTATTAAGCAAATGGTTATAAAAGAAACAGCATAATAATGGGTGCTGTAATGGTTCCTGCACATGATGGGACTGGGCACACGTGCTACTCTGACAACACTGGTAACACAACTTGAAAAATGAGACCTATTATTATTATTATTATTATTTTTATTTTTAGGGATAATACCAGTGTAATTTAACTTTTTTTCATATTGCCATCCTAAAAGCAGAAAAACAGCCTTTTGTCTCTCTGCTGTTTATGGTTGCCTTCAAAATAATTCTGCAGTTGTTTTCAACAATACATTCTCAGTCCCAGCGTGTAGAGACATTCTGCTGCTTTTACGTCCTATTAGGCTGGATTTAAAGGTCCAGTGTGTAACATTTAAGAGGCTCTATTGGCAGAAATGGAATATAATATTGATAGTTTTTTTCTTTACTGTATAATCACCTGAAAATAAGAATTGTGTTTTGATTACTTTAGAATGAGCCCTTTCTATCTTCAAAGGGAGCGACCCTGAGGTTCTTTTCTTCCACCATGTTTCTACAGAAGCCCAGAACGGACAAACCAAACACTGACTGTAGTTATGGTGAGTTTTTTGCGAGTTTTACAGCCACCGTTCTCCCTCACACTGCAACTTCACCCCTAGATAAATCCTACACACTGGTCATTTAAGTTAATTATAACACTAATTATATGCTAGTTTATTATATTAATAATGATCATGCTTAAAGTTTTTTGTTCTTTGGTGTTATGAATTGTCAGGCAACAAGAAAAAAACAAACAGCAACCTAAAAACTAAAAGGCAGGCTGTAAAGCTTCACATTATCTCTGCCTTTACTATCTGATTGATGTTCTTCATCCCTCTGCCTCTCCGTTATTAGCTCTGACACACAGACCATTACCACCACCTTTGAAATGTGTTCCTCCCTGGTCTCCCCACCAGCTGGTTTATTAGTGGAGGATCATGTGTTCCCTCTCTCTCCCTGACTGGACCTATAGGTCCATGCTGGACCCTTTAAGCTTCCATGTCTTTCTCTGTGTGGAAGTGAAGAAGGCAGAAGATTATGTGTAGACATGCCAGCCCCACCTATGTTATATTAATTTTATTATTATATTTTTCTTTAACACCATGGGTTATCTTGCATTTATTTTATGCACTTTTAGGTGGCACATTTTGTGCTTTTTCTATTTTTCACCATTTCACCATTTTAAGACATTGAAATAT